ATTAATATATTGGTTATTTTTCGCTTGGATGGGTATATCTATTAACGGTAAAGAACCAATCCAATCCGATATAGGTTGCTTTTCGGGCATATTTGCAATTTGATTAATTTGTAGTGCCTTGTTTTGTAAGTGCCTATTAGTATCGTGAAACGGCACACTTTCAATGTCCCTATTATTTACAGGAGCAGGGATGAAAGGTTGTAAACTGACGTTTTGAGGTTTGCATTGATTTAACTCATTGTTGTTATGATGACCATTGTTTCGGTGACCATTTGTGTTGTTTTTGTTCATAAGAGTGTTTTTATTAATCTTACTATTGTTATTGTTCATCGGAGCAGCAAATGTAGATGCATTTTTATTTTCTAGGGAAACAATGGTCAGATTCAACTTTTCAATTTCAAGGGATCGTTCTTTCACAAATAAACTCAACTCAGATTCAAGCTTTTCAGATCTCGCCTGCTCAATCGAAAGTTCACTCCGAAGACGATAAATTTCTTTATCTTTATGAGAATATTTGGTATTAGCATTTGCAATCGAATCTATTCTGTTAGATAGAGTAGTAATATCTAATTTAACTCCCTCAACATCAGCAGCTAGAACGCCACACGAACAGCGACAGTTCGACAAATAGTTGGAATTGTCACCTATAATGTCTAGACAAACCTGTGATGCGGCATCAATTTGGTTGGCAGGTCTCGATATAGGTGTAGGCTCCAAAATATTTATATAGGTGGATTCCAAAATATTTTCAGCATGGTTAACTTCATTGGGGGAGGCAATTTTGGAAATGGAATCTAAAGGAATGCTAGTGGCACTGCTACTAGGAAGGTTAACCTCATTAATGACAACATCATCAATGCTTTCTTTGAAGCCGATTGTATTATTCGATAGATCCTCAGAGAGTACTTTAACTTCTAATTCAGCCAACCGTGACTTCAAATTCAAATTTTCATCAGATAATTTGCATATATCCTGTTTACTTTTATTTATAATTTGAGTCTGTTCTGAAAGATTATTTATCAAAACTACAATATCGGACTCAATCTTATCCTTGAACATGTGAAATTGTTTCACTGTAATGCCCAACTCAGCCTCATCTTGCGTCCGAACTGGGGTAGAGCTGTCAATAGATTGGGCAGAGGAAATATTGGTATTATTATTTTGCATCAGAATATTCGCATTTTGAAAAGATCGGTCAATAAAATCCTCAAGCTCATCAAGGGTTGAACAATCCGCCGTTAATACCTCATCTATAGCTTTATCACTATAACCACCAGTAGATACTTTACTAGCCTCAAGCATGGTCAGATCTTGTACTATATGACTAACACTAACCAATTGTGGTTTGGGTTTGACTGATGTTTCAGCCAACGCATGAAATAAACAGCCCTCGTCAGTATCAGTTCGCTTAACACATTTTGAGATCAAAACACTCAACAACCATGTCTTAAATGATTCGCCATCCCTTCCGTTAAATGTAAGCGAATTTAGTTTGCCAGGATACCAGGTCACAATAAAATTTGAATTTGAGTTGGTGAACTGTTTAGATTTACCTCTGCTTGATCTCCATGTACCAGACAGCCCGATCACATTTTCGACAAAATTCTGCAACGAACGAAAGTCTCGAGACCATATAACTCGTTTCCCATCATAAACTAAGTCAGCTTGATCCTTTAACAAATTGATGGAATTGATATCAATGCTTTCGAACGACAATTTTTTATATTTTGGTGAAATCAACAAATCGTGACCGTCCGCCATTCTGTGCGTTCAAATGTATCACTGAATCTTGGCTTAACACTTCTGTTGTCAGTGTTGTGGACTCAATGATTTCGTTATCGAACTTAATCCAATTCAGAAATGATCGCACATACTCCTGCGGTGGCGGCGTAAAGCAATATATTTCATTTTATAATAAGACAAAACTTCATCTTTTGGCTGTTTAAAGTTACTGAAAGTAACAATTTTGTGCATTTGTGCCAAAAGAAACAAAATAAAACTGATATGAATTGCCTTAATACTCAATGTCACGTCCAGTAACTTTTAATAAACAGCCATGAAGATGATTCCAAAGTATGGCGTTCCATCGCCGCCAAAAATCAATGTTATTAATCAACAACCAATGTTGCTACTCAACAATCAACATTGGGCAACAACATTCAAATCCACTCTCCAACTTTCAACAGCACACTTTCCTACTATTGTAATTTCAGAACTCAACATCTAACTTTAAACCACGCAACAATCAATATTGAAAAACTTCAACAACGACAAATTTTTGTTCTTTGAAATGATGAATGTTTGAAATGATGAATGTTGCAATGCTCATGTTTTTAATATTGATGTTTGTCCCCGAGCCGACGGCGCGAAGCGCCGTGCGAGGGTACTAATTCCCCCCGGCTATTTACACCCGGGGAAACGAAAGCATTAGCCAAGTCTAAAGTTCATCAAATATCGCGGGCGTGGCTCACCAACGAAGTTTCGGTGGGTGGTCATCCTCACTGATCTCAAAAATATGGCGGACTGTCATGAATAGCGGACACTGATTGGTCCAATTTACAGTTTGCATTATAACGACTGCATGACGACAGCGAAACAGCAAACATTTCTTGATTTGATGATTGATAAATTTCTTGCAAATATATCTTATTTTTGCTCGCATTTTTGCAAGATTCAGTAAATTTCAAGAAAGAAAAGACTAAAGAATGGGCTAAAAGAAGGGAGCCGACGTTAACAAAGGTAAGTTTGTTTTAAATATTTATTTTATAATTGTTTTAAAACCCGACGGCCTTTGAGTATATGATAAAGTTCATTTCTTGCAAGTTGTATTTTAGCAAGATTTTGTAAATTTCAAAACCTTTCTGAGAGCCAAAAACGTCTAAAAACGTCTAAAAGAATAGAGCAAAGTCGCCGACGTTAGCGAAGGTATAGTCGTTTTAAATATTGATGTATTTTTTGTCTTATAATTGATATATTTATAACTGATAGTGGTGGGCGATACGGCGAATATCGAACTAAACCTATCATTGCGTATATAAGTGAAAAAAGACAGCATATAATTTCAGTGTAGTTTTATTAACTACCTTTTCTTTTGTATATTAAAGTATTTAAATAAAGAGGAAAGCAAAGTTATTTTCATGCGAGAATTTGAAATCAGCTTATTTCAAACTCAATGACAATGTTTACCGATAATTCGATAAAAGGCCGTTTAGTTTTGAGAACATTTTAAAACGTTTTGCGAAGCGTTTGTGGTTGAATTTTACATTAAATTGATGCTTATATTACGTATAATAACATACCTGGCATACATATGTTTGGGAAATTGATAATTTTGTTATTAAAAGTGATATTTTGGGGGATTTTTCAATTTTAAAACCAGGTTTAAAACTATTCTTAAAATTATCGTGTTACCATGACAACTACTTTCAATTCTTCATAATATTCAGAAAACATAATGTTTTGTCAGTAAGGCGAGGGTTTCTGCATGCATGTATTTTCTAGTAATGTTGATGTTTGTAAAATGTCGATGTTTGTAAAGTGTTGATGTTTGTAAAATGTTGATGTTTGTAAAATGTTGATGTTGTAAAATGTCGATGCTTGTAAAATGTTGATGCTTGTAAAATGTTGAT